TTTTTTGGATTTGTTTTCACCACCTCAGCTCCTTCTCATACTCTTTTTGGGCTTTTCTTGTAAGCTTTGTCACTTTATTTCATTGCCTAATGTACTCTTGGTACTGAACCCCTGATCGCGTCTCCATATATCGTTGCCAACATCTGTGCTTTTTCTTCACAGCTCTTACAATATTCGCATCGTATCCTCTTCCTTTTGTTGTGCTGGTCATTGTTTAATTGTTCTTGATGGTACATATTTCTTAATCTTTTCTTGTATAATGTCGGTAAGAGCTTTATATGCCAGGTCAACATTTCCACTTGCCTTGTCAAAATTGCCTGCCAGTCAGTACACTCAAGTTCTTTATTAACAACATAGTACTTCTATAATTGTCTTTTGGTCTGGAAACATAGAATAGAGAAAGTGATGACTGCATGGTCACTTTTACCTAGAGGACTCTCGTACTGAACACTATCTATCAGATGTGGATCACTATTAATAACAAGATCCAACAAGCTAGACTGATCAGCTCCTCCTCCTCTTGTTGGTTCCGTAATATGCTGTGTAAGATAGGCATCTCGAAGTGTGGCGATAAACTGACTTTCAGATTCTACCGTGGTAGTCCAATTACTCCAGTCAATATTACAATAATTGAAATCCCCTACAATTATGTTACTTGATACAGGATTACCCATAAATGTTGAAATAAGTTCATTAAGATTCTTATTATTTTCTTCACTTGAGTTTAGACTCCTGTAAACGAGACCAAAATTAAGTGATTTTCTTGTTCAATCTTATCTTAAGTAGAATATATTCTTGAAAAACTACATTAACGTTCAATGATACAGCACTTGGTGTGGTTTTTAACATAGACGATTAGTTCCCTGCCCATGCTATCTTGAAGATGATGCGTATAAAGTGTGTACCCATTTATTTTGTAGTCTACGTCACTCATGACAAATCTACATTTTTGGGGTTTTACTTCCGATATGGCAATGATATCAGGGGGAGTAGCCATATGGGCTAATCTCTGTCGAAGCTCGTTAATTTTATTAGACAGTGAATCTGCATTCGCAAAAAAAACATGTCAATTGATCTTCTACTCTTCTTGATTTCCATCTGAGTTTGTGCTGGCATCAGTATCTACTACTGTGGCCACGGAAACCATTCCACCCACATGTTTGTTAGGGACCCCCTTATCCTGAAGGTCTAGGTGGCATCTTTTACTCTTTCCTCTTTTGCTTTTATTATTAGTTCCCTCCTCACATTTCTTTGTTCTTTTGTCATGTCGTGCATTATGCTTATATTTCTTAGTTCCCCAGGTGCATTCTTGAGCTTGTTCAGGTTTGCCATTACAAGTTGCTTCTCCCATGCTCTCTGGAACTGTACGAGAAGTGGTCTGTGCTTTCTGTCCTCTGGTTTCCCAAGGTGGCGTACCGTGACCACATGCACATCCTTTAGGCCTAGCAAGTTTTTTGCCAGACTGTTGACAATAACAGTGTCCTCTTTGGCTCTTGCATCCGAAGTATTTGCAATGCTCTCTGTTAAGCGACGTATAACAATACTGTTTTCTCTAGCTTCCTGCAACTGTTCTTCCTTCCTACTTGCAGTGATAACCGTCTGGATCATTCGTAAGGTCCTTTTCTCGTGGCGGCTAAGCACCTTACTAAATGGTACATAATCTTCATCTGTATTTGCCTGATCACCATCTTCAGCAGCCGTGACTTCATCTCCCTCCAGCATTTCCTTTATAAGTGTCCTGGTCTGTTGCTCCTGCTGTCAGATAGCTTCCTCCAGCTTATCCAATTGATCCACAAGAGTGGAATTCACACTAGGGATTTCGTATTGCCTTCAATTACATTTGGCGTCAATGTCCTGAAGCATTATCTTCATGGATTCCAACGTTGGCTTTATATCGATTATCTGCATTTGCTTGACATATTTGCAGGTGCGCAGGTTTCAGAAAGCACTAAGGGCTGCATTAAGTTCGTCCCTGCATTCATCACTACATGTAAAGTGAAGGTCGGGTCTTTCAGCTGCATTGTACAGCGGGTTTGAAAATTTCGCACATTTCGCACACACGTATTCACAACACACCTCACATTCCAGAACTTTTGCCTTGTCCTCCTTGAACTCGGTCTTACATAACTTACATACCCAGATTTCCACGGTATGGTGGTGTCTTGTGGGTGTGACAGCTACTTTTGCTGCGAGTTTGCTGTTTACATTACCAACATCCGTACTCCCGGCAAGTGTCGTAGCCCCATTCAGATGAATAAACATTTCACTTTTGTGACGTGTTTTGGCTTCTTCTTCCTTATCCTCAATCGATATAAACGTATTTTGCTGTTTTGATGCCATCACAACTAAAAAAAGCGGCGGCATCACAGTAACACGGAAACGGTCTTGCCCTGTTGCATTTTGGTGAACTGGTGCAAGAAACAGTAGAAGTGGATCTTTTGAACGGTACTCACCCACAGCCTGTCCACACACCTCCTGGGTGTTACAGGTCACATTGGCAGTGCATTCATAAGAGTAAGGATCACAGCTGTAACACTGCAGAGAGCCAACAGGGGGCGCCACAACTGAAACAAATGTGTGTTAATGAGACATTTTCAAAGTGCAGAACATCAGCTGATAAGAGAGAATCACTCACTGGAATGATTTTCGTTGCAGTTGTCTGTGTCGCAGCACGTGGTGTTTACAGCATAAGTGTTGGGGCCATAATTATATGAAACAAACTCAGACCCTGCAGCTGTACAGTCTGAAGCAGAAGCACAGCCTTTATAGGTGTAGTTGTAGGTGTAACTGTTGTCTCCATAGTTGTAGGAGCCTAAAGACACAAAAGGAACAAATAAGAATCTCCTGAAGAGGGCAGTGCAGGTGCTGGTGCAGCACAACCTGAAAAAAAAAACACACATTCAGTCCCACACGCCTCTTTGGCCACTTCAACAAAGTGAACACATATTTGTGATTCAGATTTGATGTTAGTTTCTGTATTATCATGATCTGTATTATTTAATACATGTGTCCTTAAACCCTGTTTTTTGTTGATTTTGTTCAGAGTCTTGATGTTGAGGTGGAAGCGTCACAAGAGCAGAACAAGACCAAAACTAAAACTTTATTTAAGTGGAGTTTGAGAGAAAACCACAGACATGACCAATCAGAGACACACACATGCACTGTGAGCCAATCAGAAGGAAGTCTTGTACCTGTGTAGGATCTGGAGTAACATGCAGTAGTTTGAAAGGAGCAGTTGACTAAACGCTGACTAGAGCCGGAGCCGCTCATGCACTGAAGTCTGTGAACTGTGTGAAAGAGAGAGACTGATGTCAGATACACACACATTGGCAGTACATTCATAAGAGTCTGGATCACAGCTGTAACACTGCAGAGAGCCAACAGGGGGCGCTGAAACAGAGAGGAGCAGTTGGATCCTTTGAGAAAAATCTATGGGATTTTTAGTTTGGACATGTTTGTTTGGGATTTTTTAAATGCAATTTTTCATTATCTGCAATTATTAAATATTTATTTCTATGTTTCTTGCTGCTCGTTCTCTCTGAAGCCTGTTCCATTAGGCGTCTGTTTGGGCTGAGGCAGGACACTTGGACTGGAAGGAGGTGACTTTGGAGGAACCCACTACCAAGTCTATTTGTGTAAAATGAGGAGCAGCACTCACAGGTCGGGTTTGGAGCGTTGCAGTCGTCTGTGTCGCAGCATGTTTTGTTTTTGAGGTAAGAACTGGAGCCATAGTCATAAGAATCAAACTCAGACCCTGCAGCTGTACAGACCGAGGATGAAGCACAGCCTTTTCTGATCACACTGTAGCTGGAACTGGAGCTTCCATAATCGTAAGAACCTGAAACCAGAACAGAAACAGGTCAGATCTGAAGAGACTTCTCCAAGAACCAGGTCTGGACTGTGGACCAGAGCCAGACCCGCCCACTACAGACCTGTACCAACCAATCAGAGAGAGGCTCAGACATGCAGTGACCAATCAGAGGACAGTACTGTACCTGCGTAGGCATCAGTGTAACAGAAGGGGGCGAGTTTGGAGCAGGTCACCGAGCGCTGAGAAGAACATGACGAGTCTGTGCACGTCGAACACTGTAACCCCAGATCTGAAAGAGACACAGGTTAGACCAGGACTGAACCAGGACTGAACCAGGACTGAACCAGGACTGAACCAGGACTGAACCAGGACTGAAAAAGGACTTACCTGGGATGTTGCAGTGGGAAGTGTTGCAGCAGGACACTGAGGTACTGAAGCCAAAATATCGTCGTGACAGGGTGATGTTGTTGCACAGATTCTCAGAGACACAGCCGTAAAATGGACGGGATGGGTTATACTGGTCAACTGTAACGAAAGGTCAGAGGTCGGGTTGAATCTGGGGAGGTCGTGTAAGAGCAAGAAGTTTGTGAACTTGGAGAGGTGAACTTGGAGAGGAGTCCTGATTCTTCCAGTAAAACAATGTACCTGCCTGAGGAGACTGTGCTTGAGTGTTTAGTGACCCAACTCATATTATGTCGTGAGGGGCGAGGCGCAGGGTTCCAAACTGCAAACTTTGACAATGAATTTGTTAAACTCAGGAAGAACAGCTAAGATAAAAGACAGATTTACTGATCACTAAATCTCCACAGGATCTATACTAACTCATGGCTGAATGGAAGGAGCCCTGGTCACCGCCCACACCATTGGACAAAGTCTGTTTTTAAGCGGAGTTTTGGCCTCCAGGAAAGTTCAACATTCATGATGACGATGGTCTTATTTACTTAGGATGTTCCTGGTCGTGGGCTGATAGCCCCTGAGACCAGATCTGTAGTCTTCACTTCCTTTGTACATGTATACTCCAATTTCTTCCAGACTTAGTTGTGGCGCATGGTTTGTAAGGCATGCTACCCAGGTCCATATCCCACTGGAATTTTCCCAGTAGTTGTCCAGGCGTTTTTTTTAAAGGAGTTGAGTGATGGTGAAGAAACAATGTGTTCTGGTAATGAATTCTAGTCATTTACAATTCAGTGACTGAAAGTGCGACAACGAAGGCTAGTGTAGGCTCTAGGTTTCACTAATTTCAAACTGTGTCCTCTTGTCAACTGCAATCTGAAGTATTTTACCAGTGGAGCTATCATATATACCGTTGAGTATTTTTTGTATTTCTCTACCATGTCTCCCCTCAATATACGAAATCTCAGTGTTGGAATATCAAGACTCTGAAGACGTTGTTCGTAGCTCAGTTTACGTAGTTGAGGCACTTGTTGAGTTGCTCTCCTCTGCACTCTTCAATTGCCTCAATGTCGTTCTTTAGTTTTGGGTTCCATACTGCGGCTCCGTATTCGAGATGTGGCCTGACTAATGCAGTATACAGAGGCTTAAAAGTGTCAACATCAAGATAAGTGTAGGTACGCCTAATAATTCCCATCACACTACTCGCCCTGTGTATACGAGAGCGCATATCTTCTTTAAATGTCAAGCCTTTGTCGAATATCACTCCTAGATCCTTCTCTTGGTCTACCCTCTGCAGCTCTGTGGCCCCGGTCTCTGGACAGCTCATAGAATATTGGTTGTTCGAGTTAGTAGTATGGCCGATAGTCATAATTTTGCATTTTGTCGGATGAAACTTCAGTAACCATTTCATTGACCACTCCTGTAGATTGTTAATGTCATTCTGGAAGCTCCGACTATCATCTGCTGAGGTCATTTGTTGGAAGATTTTTGTATCATCAGCGAATAGGAAAGCAGTAGAGAGCACACTGTCTGGCAGGTCGTTAATGTAGATTACAAATAGCATTGGCCTCAAAACCGAGCCTTGTGGAATTCCACTTATGATGCTGCGCCAGTCAGAAGACTCGCCATTGATGGTAACTCTTTGTTGTCGGTTATGTAAAAAATCACTGATCCATATAAGCAAGGGGCCTTCTACACCATAACTTTTTAGTTTAGCTAGTGGTCACTGATGTGGGACTGAATCGAAAGACTTTTGAAAATCTAAATAGCATACATGTATTGTCCCTCCAGTGTCCAGGATGTCCGCCCATTTTTCAATTACGTGCAACAGCTGCAGTATCGTAGAGCGTCCATTGATAAAGCCAAAATGATAAAATAGATTGTTTCTGCGCATGTGCTCTGTAAGATCTTCCCGTAGCATCGACTCTAATATCTTACATGGTACACAGGTCAAGCGAACAGGTCGATAATTGCTTGCACTATGCCGGTTCCCTTTTTTGAAAATGGGGGTGATGTTGGCTTGTTTCCAGATGAGGGGAAGTTTTCCAGACTTGAAAGATAAACAAAAGATGATATGTAATGGTCTTGCGAAGGAGGTTGCCAATTCCTTCAGGATTCCTGGGTGCACCCCGTCTGGACCGAGGGACTTGGCAGGATTTATCCCCTTGAGCCTTTTAAGGCCCTTTTCTTCCGAGAGTGTTGTATTAGAAATACGTTCATCAACTCTGTGGTCAATTGTTGGCGGCAATGGTCCATGAGGTTCTTGGGTGAAAATGGAGCTATAAAAGTCTGTTGGTATATTGGCTTTCTCGACGTCTTCAGTTGCCATACCTGCATCTTTGTTGGTCTCGTCACACATTAAACCATAAATTCCTGTGGGGATTTTTGTTTTTGATCTTACATACCTCCAGAATTTTTTTGGATTTGTTTTCACCACCTCAGCTCCTTCTCATACTCTTTTTGGGCTTTTCTTGTAAGCTTTGTCACTTTATTTCATTGCCTAATGTACTCTTGGTACTGAACCCCTGATCGCGTCTCCATATATCGTTGCCAACATCTGTGCTTTTTCTTCACAGCTCTTACAATATTCGCATCATATCTTCTTCCTTTGTTGTGCTGGTCATTGTTTAATGTTCTTGATGGTACATATTTCTTAATCTTTTCTTGTATAATGTCGGTAAGAGCTTTATATGCCAGGTCAACATTTCCACTTGCCTTGTCAAATATTGCCTGCCAGTCAGTACACTCAAGTTCTTTATTAACAACATAGTACTTCTATAATTGTCTTTTGGTCTAGAACATAGAATAGAGAAAGTGATGACTGCATGGTCACTTTTACCTAGAGGACTCTCGTACTGAACACTATCTATCAGATGTGGATCACTATTAATAACAAGATCCAACAAGCTAGACTGATCAGCTCCTCCTCCTCTTGTTGGTTCCGTAATATGCTGTGTAAGATAGGCATCTCGAAGTGTGGCGATAAACTGACTTTCAGATTCTACCGTGGTAGTCCAATTACTCCAGTCAATATTACAATAATTGAAATCCCCTACAATTATGTTACTTGATACAGGATTACCCATAAATGTTGAAATAAGTTCATTAAGATTCTTATTATTTTCTTCACTTGAGTTTAGACTCCTGTAAACGAGACTAAAATTAAGTGATTTTCTTGTTCAATCTTATCTTAAGTAGAATATATTCTTGAAAAACTACATTAACGTTCAATGATACAGCACTTGGTGTGGTTTTAACATAGACGATTAGTTCCCTGCCCATGCTATCTTGAAGATGATGCGTATAAAGTGTGTACCCATTTATTTTGTAGTCTACGTCACTCATGACAAATCTACATTTTTGGGGTTTTACTTCCGATATGGCAATGATATCAGGGGGAGTAGCCATATGGGCTAATCTCTGTCGAAGCTCGTTAACTTTATTAGACTGTGAATCTGCATTCGCAAAAAAAACATGTCAATTGATCTTCTACTCTTCTTGATTTCCATCTGAGTTTGTGCTGGCATCAGTATCTACTACTGTCGCCACGGAAACCATTCCACCCACATGTTTGTTAGGGACCCCCTTATCCTGAAGGTCTAGGTGGCATCTTTTACTCTTTCCTCTTTTACTTTTATTATTAGTTCCCTCCTCACATTTCTTTGTTCTTTTGTCATGTCGTGCATTATGCTTATATTTCTTAGTTCCCCAGGTGCATTCTTGAGCTTGTTCAGGTTTGCCATTACAAGTTGCTTCTCCCATGCTCTCTGGAACTGTACGAGAAGTGGTCTGTGCTTTCTGTCCTCTGGTTTCCCAAGGTGGCGTACCGTGACCACATGCACATCCTTTAGGCCTAGCAAGTTTTTTGCCAGATTGTTGACAATAACAGTGTCCTCTTTGGCTCTTGCATCCGAAGCATTTGCAATGCTCTCTGTTAAGCGACGTATAACAATACTGTTTTCTCTAGCTTCCTGCAACTGTTCTTCCTTCCTACTTGCAGTGATAACCGTCTGGATCATTCGTAAGGTCCTTTTCTCGTGGCGGCTAAGCACCTTACTAAATGGTACATAATCTTCATCTGTATTTGCCTGATCACCATCTTCAGCAGCCGTGACTTCATCTCCCTCCAGCATTTCCTTTATAAGTGTCCTGGTCTGTTGCTCCTGCTGTCAGATAGCTTCCTCCAGCTTATCCAATTGATCCACAAGAGTGGAATTCACACTAGGGATTTCGTATTGCCTTCAATTACATTTGGCGTCAATGTCCTGAAGCATTATCTTCATGGATTCCAACGTTGGCTTTATATCGATTATCTGCATTTGCTTGACATATTTGCAGGTGCGCAGGTTTCAGAAAGCACTAAGGGCTGCATTAAGTTCGTCCCTGCATTCATCACTACATGTAAAGTGAAGGTCGGGTCTTTCAGCTGCATTGTACAGCGGGTTTGAAAATTTCGCACATTTCGCACACACGTATTCACAACACACACCTCACATTCCAGAACTTTTGCCTTGTCCTCCTTGAACTCGGTCTTACATAACTTACATACCCAGATTTCCACGGTATGGTGGTGTCTTGTGGGTGTGTGACAGCTACTTTTGCTGCGAGTTTGCTGTTTACATTACCAACATCCGTACTCCCGGCAAGTGTCGTAGCCCCATTCAGATGAATAAACATTTCACTTTTGTGACGTGTTTTGGCTTCTTCTTCCTTATCCTCAATCGATATAAACGTATTTTGCTGTTTTGATGCCATCACAACTAAAAAGCGGCGGCATCACAGTAACACGGAAACGGTCTTGCCCTGTTGCATTTTGGTGAACTGGTGCAAGAAACAGTAGAAGTGGATCTTTTGAACGGTACTCACCCACAGCCTGTCCACACACCTCCTGGGTGTTACAGGTCACATTGGCAGTGCATTCATAAGAGTAAGGATCACAGCTGTAACACTGCAGAGAGCCAACAGGGGGCGCCACAACTGAAACAAATGTGTGTTAATGAGACATTTTCAAAGTGCAGAACATCAGCTGATAAGAGAGAATCACTCACTGGAATGATTTTCGTTGCAGTTGTCTGTGTCGCAGCACGTGGTGTTTACAGCATAAGTGTTGGGGCCATAATTATATGAAACAAACTCAGACCCTGCAGCTGTACAGTCTGAAGCAGAAGCACAGCCTTTATAGGTGTAGTTGTAGGTGTAACTGTAGTCTCCATAATCGTAGGAGCCTAAAGACACAAAAGGAACAAATAAGAATCTCCTGAAGAGGGCAGTGCAGGTGCTGGTGCAGCACAACCTGAAAAAAAAAACCACATTCAGTCCCACACGCCTCTTTGGCCACTTCAACAAAGTGAGACATATTTGTGATTCAGATTTGATGTTAGTTTCTGTATTATCATGATCTGTATTATTTAATACATGTGTCCTTAAACCCTGTTTTTGTTGATTTGTTCAGAGTCTTGATGTTGAGGTGGAAGCGTCACAAGAGCAGAACAAGACCAAAACTAAAACTTTATTTAAGTGGAGTTGAGAGAAAACCACAGACATGACCAATCAGAGACACACACATGCACTGTGAGCCAATCAGAGGAAGTCTTGTACCTGTGTAGGATCTGGAGTAACATGCAGTAGTTTGAAAGGAGCAGTTGACTAAACGCTGACTAGAGCCGGAGCCGCTCATGCACTGAAGTCTGTGAACTGTGTGAAAGAGAGAGACTGATGTCAGATACACACACATTGGCAGTACATTCATAAGAGTCTGGATCACAGCTGTAACACTGCAGAGAGCCAACAGGGGGCGCTGAAACAGAGAGGAGCAGTTGGATCTTTGAGAAAAATCTATGGGATTTTAGTTTGTACATGTTTGTTTGGGATTTTTTAAATGCAATTTTTCATTATCTGCAATTATTAAATATTTATTTCTATGTTTCTTGCTGCTCGTTCTCTCTGAAGCCTGTTCCATTAGGCGTCTGTTTGGGCTGAGGCAGGACACTTGGACTGGAAGGAGGTGACTTTGGAGGAACCCACTACCAAGTCTATTTGTGTAAAATGAGGAGCAGCACTCACAGGTCGGGTTTGGAGCGTTGCAGTCGTCTGTGTCGCAGCATGTTTTGTTTCTGAGGTAAGAACTGTAGCCATAGTCATAAGAATCAAACTCAGACCCTGCAGCTGTACAGACCGAGGATGAAGCACAGCCTTTTCTGATCGTGATGTAACTGGAGCTTCCATAATCATAAGACCCTGAAACCAGAACAGAAACAGGTCAGATCTGAAGAGACTTCTCCAAGAACCAGGTCTGGACTGTGGACCAGAGCCAGACCCGCCCACTACAGACCTGTACCAACCAATCAGAGAGAGGCTCAGACATGCAGTGACCAATCAGAGGACAGTACTGTACCTGCGTAGGCATCAGTGTAACAGAAGGGGGCGAGTTTGGAGCAGGTCACCGAGCGCTGAGAAGAACATGACGAGTCTGTGCACGTCAAACACTGTAACCCCAGATCTGAAAGAGACACAGGTTAGACCAGGACTGAACCAGGACTGAACCAGGACTGAACCAGGACTGAACCAGGACTGAACCAGGACTGAAAAAGGACTTACCTGGGACGTTGCAGTGGGGAGTGTTGCAGCAGGACACTGAGGTACTGAAGCCAAAATATCGTCGTGACAGGTTGGTGTTGTTGCACAGATTCTCAGAGACACAGCCGTAAAATGGACGGGATGGGTTATACTGGTCAACTGTAACGAAAGGTCAGAGGTCGGGTTGAATCACGGGAGGTTGTGTAAGAGCAAGAAGTTTGTGAACTTGGAGAGGTGAACTTGGAGAGGAGTCCTGATTCTTCCAGTAAAACAATGTACCTGCCTGAGGAGACTGTGCTTGAGTGTTTAGTGACTCAACTCATATTATGTCGTGAGGGGCGAGGCACAGGGTTCCAAACTGCAAACTCTGGGTTATAACCATAGAGTTTAATTGTGGAACCAAATGAATTGAAAGTATAGGAGAGTTGGGTGTGATTCGTAGTGTGTTCCGCCTAAAATTCACGACCATTCTGTAGACATTGTACGATGGAAGGTGGAATCAGCCTTTGTGGATCTGGAATAGCTTAGCTTTAGCCACGTGCTCTACATGTATTTTTCCATGTGGTGGCAGCAAATAGGTTTTTTAGCTCTATTGTGCCGTCCTAGTGGCCGAATATGACAGGTGGACTCCAGATAGGACTACAGATACGTTTTTTTGGAACCTATTGTCAAATGACAAACACAACGGATTTCAGGCACTCCAAACAAGTAGAAAAAGTTAACAGATCGCAGGGCTTCACATGGCAGGTCTTTGACCAGTTAAGGTCGAAACATGTTGGCTTTGGCCATTCAAATAAAGGCCTTTTAACTATATATTTCCTCATGCAATTTGTTAACTTTTTCTACTTGTTTGGAGTGCCTGGAATCCGTTGTGTTTGAGTTTTGATTCTTTTTCCAAGAGCACCGTCTACCTGCTCCTATGGATTGGAGCAGCTGCAGCAAACAGCCACATTTTTGTTCTTTCTGCACTATTGTCAAATGACTCGGGACCCTGCCACCCACCCCCAAGAATTGAATTTTGGAATTTTAAACACATTTTTTGGAACCTTTTTTCAAATGACTTGGGATTGCTGGGGGACTCTGCTGCCCACCCCCCCGGAACCGAATTTTGGAATTTTAGACACTTTTTTTGGACTTTTTTGGAAAGTGATTTGTAAGTGGCTCGGTACACTCTACGGACCGTAGGTCACAACCCCAAGTGCTTATTTCATAAAATTAAAAAAAAATTTTGCGCAAACCTGGAGATTTGAAGAATATTTCATGATAGGCGCGTAGGGCCCGGTTTACTGTACCAACATACCAAATCTCAACTCTATAGCCCAAAAGGTTAGGCCAATATTTAAAAAAAAAAAAAACTTGTTCGAACTTACAAAGGTTTTTGAACAGGACAATTCCACAAAACCCCTCTATTTTCTAACTCAGAACAGGAATTCAGCTTTCCAAAGGCATTAAAGGAAAAATTCCAACGCAGGTTTATAGAGCACGACCTATTGACAGGTCCATAGCCCAAAAGGTCGGTCTTCGGTGAGGCTTTACCCCAAAGTTGGCTTGTCGGTGAGGCCTTAGGCCGAAAGGTCCTCTCTGAATATATGACCCATATACCCCTTTGAAATCAGACAACTTTTGCACAAACCTGGAGATTTGAACAAAATTTTACTGCAGGTTTGTAGAGCCGAGCCTATTGTACCAACATACCAAATCTCAAGTCCATAGCCCAAAAGGTAAGGCCAGTATTCTACAAAAACCCTAATTCCAACTCACAATTCTGTCAATGGAAGAGTTCCACAAAGCCGTCCATTTTAGGATTTTTGCGCCCCCTGCTGGTGAACCATGAAAAAGGGCCATGTCAGTAATATATGTTTTTGCTTCTAGTTGTTCATAGAATTTAATTCCCAAATTTGGTGCAGATCCGATAATGTTGATGTTTCATGTCTATGGTAGGGGGCGCTGTAGTGTTTTTTCATATGTTTTATAGTGTATTATATTCAGACTGAGATCACACATTAGTGATTCAAATTTCAACACGATCGGACTAAGTATGTGGGAACAGGAGCAAATATTGTCACCTTGAAATTAGTAAAAATCTTGATCAAAATTTGCGGCTTCGCCGCACGTAAACCGTGACAGTTATAAAAAAAAATCAGCTAACTTTAGATGTTCCACTTGTCTAGATGACGTACGGTGATTTTCAGCCCTGTGGGTGAAGCGCCTTCAGAGGAGTTCGTTCAAACGCAATGTGAACGAAAATGCGGACTCAAATTTCAATTCAAGATGGCCGCCTTCTGGTTTGTCAGGGGGCGTGGCCATAATAACATTTTTTGTTTGTCTTCACATGACGAATGTGTGTACCGAATTTCGTGGCTCTACGACAAAGTTGACATCGGGATGTACCTTAGCCTTATAATAAATATAGCCACAAGCGGCAATGATTGGCCCTCGCGTGCGCCTATGGCGCGGCCCGCAAACGCCGCGGCCCGCAAACGCCGCGGCCCGCAAACGCCGCGGCCCGCAAACGCCGCGGCCCGCAAACGCCGCGGCCCGCAAACGCTGCTCCCTGCAAACACAGCACCCCACAAAACACCGCATCACACGCTAACCCTAATAACACTAAGCTTAAACCAAACCCTCAGTTTTTTAATCGAGACCATGTCACAAATGCAGGGTACCACATTTTGTGTATCTATGACAAATAAAACATTTTTCCATACAAATTTTGTAGGGGGCGCTATTGCACCCATTTTTCTTAGCGCAATATGTTCATAGTCGGGGTGTGAACCCACGATTAAAAATGTGAGTGAAATCGGCCAAAGTTTGTGCGACTGTGATTTTACCATTGGAATAACATGGACAGTTTATGTCATCGCTATGGCAACACCATAAAAAAATATGGCATGGGTGTTATTGACTTTTTGGATCAGGATGCCAAAACTGAAGTTTGTGCAAAATTTCAGAAATTTTAAAAATACTAAATTTTTTTCTCCCATATTAAATTTTGTTTCAATCTATAGGGGGCGCTCATATACCAAATTCATTTTTTTAACATTACATAGGTTTAGGGCAGAGAGTTTAACAATTGTTTCAAATTTCATTGAAATCAGAGTTCGTTTGAGCAAATGGGAGCAATTTGTAAATCTACAAAAATCTCCAAAATTGTGTGCATTTTTTGTTGCTTCACTGCTCAGAGATCGTAAGACGTGTGTGAAAAATGTGATTAACTTTTGATGTTCCACGTCTTGAGATAATGTGGACCAAATTTGGGCTCGTTTGAGTGAACGCCCTCAGAGGAGAATATTGCTGCCCCCTAGTGGAGCACACGGTGTTGGTGTAATAATATTTTTTCCTTGTCTTGACATGATCGACTTCTGTGTCAAATTTCATGATTGTACGTGCAACTTTTTTTGTGTCATTCATATTCCCGAATGCATTTTTGAGTCGTTTGGGGCTGATGAGCCATTTTATTTATGTTTGGAAAATGGAAATAGCCAAAACTTTGAGAAGCGCGAGTTTTACCAGATGGCAAAATTTCAGGACTTTTCGTCATTGTTTAGTGGGTGAAAAATGGGTGAGTTGGAGAAAAATAATAATAAAAAGAAAGAAAGAATAATATTCTGATACGAGAACAATGTTCCGCTTTTTTTCGGCCAACAAACTACATTTTCGGAAACCTCAGGCGCATTGCTACGTAATGGCGAGGGTCCCTGGTCACTACGGGCGAGTCACGTCGCGCCATTTCACTTTCGGCCACTTGGAGCATCGCTTTGCGATACTAATAGACCCTTCACCAGCCTCTGGCGCTCGGGCCTAATAATAATAATCATCATCTTCATCTAGTTTCCAAATGTAAAAAAAAAAATATATATTGTGGAAGTTATGCGTAGTAAAAAGAAGCCGACAACTTCTCACATTTTAGACACAAAAAATCGTGTGTCGCTTTATTAACTGAACTCACAACTCGCTATAAACGGCTAATAACGGTAAACAGAACAGCGTGCCTCAAACGTCAACGGGTCTTAAAGGGACCGCGACAATATTGCATATAGAGCACAAACACAAAAACTAAACACTGAACATAGGTGAACATGTAATTAATATGTCTCCAGTTAGTGGTGAATTATGTATGTAATATATGTATGCTAAAGGCACTACACACGTCCCCCCAGAATTCACCCAAATAGAGAAAACAGTCAAAGGGGTGGGCGGCGAATTAAGCGGCCATAGCGACTCCTTTGAACCACGATATTCGGAACTGCCTCCTCAGGGGTTGTTTGTGGATCTCTACTGTGGCATGGCAGAGGAGAAGGAGAAGGGGGGGAAGGAAAAAGGGGCCTAGTCAGAGGACGTCCTCGTTTTGGAGGTTGGGCCAATTCAATTGGTCGGGCAAAATCCAAATGAGCGGGTTTAAGTCGATCCACAGACACGCACTCCGGTTTACCCCCTATGTCCACCACAAAGTGCTTGTCCCCACCTCCAAAACGCGGAAGGGGCCCTCATATGGCGGACGGAGAGGACCTTTATGCCCATCGACACGGATGAAAACATAGCCCGCCGACTGCAGACCATTGGGGACATGCGAGTGTGGGAAACCATGGCAGGACGTGGGGAGTGGCGCAAAAAGCCTGGCGTTGTCCAAAAGTGCAGAACACTGGAGTGGGGCTGACCAGGGGGCTGTGGTGCTGGGGACAAAATCCCCCGGGACCCGCAGCGGCTGACCGTAGACTAGCTCTGCAGAGGAGGACTGGAGATCTTCCTTTGGTGCTGTCCTGATGCCCAGCATGACCCACGGGAGTCTGTCGGCCCAGGAGCTGTCCTTCAAACTGGCTCGCAAGGAAGCCTTCATAGACCTGTGGAAACATTCGCAGAGGCCATTACTCTGAGGGTGATAGGCTGTAGTACGGTGAAGTTTCACACCCAAGCTTCTTGCAACGGCATTCCAAAGTTCAGATGTAAACTGCACGCCATGGTCCGAAGAAATGTCTGAGGGGGTGCCAAAACGGGACACCCAAGTGCCAATAAATGCCCATGCCACATCAGCTGATGTTACTGATGACAGCGGAACAGCCTCTGCCCACCGTGTGGTCCTGTCGACCATAGTCAGCAGATGTGTGTAACCTTGTGAGGGGGGCAAAGGGCCAACCAAGTCGACGTTAACATGGTCGAAACGCCGTTCTGGCACTTCAAACTGTTCCAGTGGAGCCTTGGTATGTCGGTGTACTTTGGCGCGTTGGCACTCCATGCAAGTATTCGCCCAGTCCCTCACATCCTTTTTCAGTCCATGCCACACAAACTTGGCTGACACCAGCCGTTGTGAGGCCTTAGTTCCAGGGTGTGAAAGGCCGTGGATGGCAT